ATGTGTAATATGTGTTAACATTCACAATTAAGATTAGATTAAGAAGCTGGGTGTTGGTGACGCATGCCTTTAATCCCAGCACTCAGGAGGTAGAGGCAGGCGGATCTCTGTGAGTTCGAGGCCAGCCTGGTCTACAGAGCGAGTTCTAGGACAGCCTCCAAAACAATACAGAGAAACCCTGTCTCGAAAACAACAACAACAACAACAACAAAACAGATTAAGGGTTAGGGAGATGGCTCAGTGGGTAAGAGTGGTTGCTGAGCAAGCTTTTCTATCTGAGTTTAGATCCCCAGAACCCACTTCAAGCCAGTGTTAGTGACACATGCCTGAAATCTAAGCACTCTTATGACAGTGAGATAAGAGGTGGAAACAGGCCAATCCCCTAAAGTCCATAGGCAAGTCAACCTGAAATATTGGCATAGCAGCACATAGTAAGAGAGCCTCTGCCTCATAAAAGCAGGCAGAAAGAGGAGGACCCACAACTGAGGTTGCCATTGACCTCACATGCATGCCATGGTACATGTACACCCTCACACACACACACATGCACATACACACACTAAAATAAAGACTTCTTAAAATGTCAGAATAAAAGAACACATGTTTCCCCCAGTCAGGGTTACCAAAGAAAGTGGGACAATCTGCAAGTTGCTGCTATGGAAACCACTGTACGTTGTGAATTTATTGTTATTCAGTAAAATCAAATCTGACATTATGGAAGGACACAAATGTGTTTGTCTATGTTTCTGTCACAGTGTACTCCCAACAGGGCTGCCAAGGTCTAGACTCTGACCCTAATAACGCCAGCAGCTGGAACTTCTCTCTTTTTCTTCTCAGTGTGACCACACTGAGTAAACCTCCCAACTAACCTTTTCACTGATATTGAGGGGTTTTGTTGCTGTTGTTATTTGTTTGTTTGATTGTTTTTCCAGACAGGGTTTCTCTGTATTGTTTTGGAGGCTATCTGGAACTCTCTCTGTAGACCAGGCTGGCCTCGAACTCACAGAGATCTGCCTGCCTCTGCCTCCCGAGTGCTGGGATTAAAGGCATGCATCACCAAGCCCGACTGGTACTGTGTTTTTAATTGGCATTTATGGATGGGAGGTGGAGCCTAGCCTATTGAGACAGCCTGAGCTTTGTCTTTGAATGCTACTGATGGGTATGGAGTAAGGTGCTCTACAAGTTCATGACTACTCCCCCCAAGCCCAGGAATCCAAACTTTGCATTGTCGAACGTGACTGTAGAGATGTTCAGGGATCCCTGCACTTCCTCTAAGCTGGGTGACTCCTGCAGGCTTTGGTGGGCATCTCCAGAGGGCAAGAGAGACTGGAGGCTGGTGGCCCTTCAAGATACTTCTGAATTTCACTTAAAAAATAAGTGACCTTATAAATCCCAACACTTTTTTCCTTTTTAGGGCTTAACAGATTTCAAACTTGTGACTAAGAAAAGTGAGATTTCCTCTAATGGCCCTGTGAATGATGAAGTTATCCATCTTAGCGGCACAGTGGTGGTCTCAGGACTTCAACATTTGTATTGCAGTTGGAGAAGATGGGGTAAAGTCAGGGGACAGGTAATTGAGTCCCTGATTGCAAGGGAATAGTGATCATGTGACTAGAGGAACAGGAGCTGTGGTGTGGGGCTTAGAGAAACATGACAAGGGAGATTCTAGACTTAGAAAGCAGAGGCCTGGCCAGGACACAGCATCTAGAGTGCTGAGTGAGGCTTCTGAGTGAAATTCTCAGATCTGCCTCACACTTGGGTGTAACATTCTTTAAGTATTTCCTGCACAATCCACCACTCCCTATATCTTTTGGTAGAAAACCTTCTCCCCAAGAGAGAAATTGGACTCTTGACATTAACAACCATGGCGAATATTGAGGGTCTATGTCACCAATCATTGCTGTTTAACTACTCAGTATGCCTCACCTAGTTCTTAGCACAATCCCAGTGAGCCAGGAGAGCAAGGTGAGTGTGTGTGTGTGTGTGTGTCGGGGGGGGGTTGCAAATATGAGGCTGCAAAATTAGCATTCAAGGAAAACTTGCAGGCAAAGAGGAAAGCTGGGACATTGCCTTAGCTGGGACCTGCTAGAACTGTCATTCCCTGGCTCAGAGGTAAAGGCACTCCAGAGTACCTGAAAGTGACCTGTGATCATTTTAACACTAAGCAAATATAGCCTGGGAGAAGATTTAAGATGCTAAGTAGACATGTAACACATGAAATTGCACCACGCAGAAGTGCCTATCACAGAACACAGTACCAAAGGCAAAGCCCACACTATGCAGATGAGCCCCAAAGTCTTTACTATGCAAATGACTCCTCCCCATCCTCTGTGCTCCTGCTGCTGCCTAGCTGCTACCATTTGAGTGACTAAACCCTTTCTCTGTTCTGGCTTCCTGCCTCCCTTGGAAGCTTATCTTTTTCAAAATAAATGATCTCTGTTTCGGTTTGGTCTGTGCTCATCTCTTTGTTCCAGGACACAAGAACTATGATAGCTGCATCACCAGGAGGTAGATGCCACCAAACCCACCTTTTGGACAGGAAAGTTAGGTCTGACTGATGTTAAGCATTAAGGCCAGAGTCATATATGTAACTAGCAGGCTGCTCAGTTAAGATTGGAAGCCCCACGGCTTGAATCCAGGGCATTCTCTATGCTGCTTGATAAGATTTGGTGGAGTTAATTTTGCAGTCCTGTTTTTGATTGTATATAGAACAGGCCTCCTTATAAGGGTGAAGAGGACAGACCAGAATAAAAAAAGGACACAGCCCAGACACCACTGTTCTTCTGCTTATATATATATAATTATATATTGCAATGCCTCTGACATGATTGACTTGGTCAGAAAATGGAATAAAGAGGCTTGGCATACTCTTCCAAGCAAAACTATTGTAGTATCAATAGAGTTGTTAATCCAATCAATATCAATGCCAGTCTGAACAGGTGAAGAGGTTGTACTGGTTTCTGCACTTACTCCTCCTGCTACATGTTCAACAAAAGTTGGGTGTTCCACAAAATGAGCGAATGATTAAATATGTCCACTTGCATCTCCCCAATTCCTCCCTAACCTTATGACCCTTGTGGTCCATTGCTTCAAGGGAAGTAAAGAGTTCAGTCTTTGATGACCAACGTTTTACAATTACTCCTCACCATCCTCGTGTGAGGTGGGAACTTGTCTATCTTCAGGATTCTCCACTAATCCCAGGCCTGCCTGTAACAGAAATCTCCCCATCCCCAATCTATAAACACCATTTGCTTTCCTTCGTCAACATCAGTTGCGTGTGACCATAAGGCTGCTAGTATTGCCGATCCTCTTCCTTCGAGTGTGCTGTATGCTGTTACTGCTGATGAGGCCAGAGAAGACCTTGCAGGTCTATAATTCAACCTCTTGTCTAAGAAAGGACTGTAGCAAAGATGACTCATCCACCTGCCACCAAGCCCACCTTTGAAAATGAGTTTTCATACAACAAAGTTATTTATGTTAACAAAAATTCCTCAGTAATTAGCAAGAATGCTCACCAAGTCACTTACCCATGCACTCATCTGTTTATGATATACATTGCGTTACACCAGGAAATACGCTGGGCTCTGGGGGATGTGGAGATAAACGGGCCACAGTCCCTCCCCACTGCTCTTTAGAACCCAATAGGCTGGATCTGCTGATGGGCAGATCTGTGAGCCATAACTCAGTGGATCCCGCTAGTACGGGTACCAAACATAATGCTAAGGCAGAGAAGCACAGACGTAATGAGCTACCCAGGAGGAAGGGGAGCTGGCCTGGACGACTTCGCTCAAGAAGCACTGACTAAAGCAAGGCTAGGACTGAACCTGGAACATTCGGCTCCAGAGGTTGTATGGACAGTGCACAAGAGGGCTGGGAATCTCAAGCTTACTGTGATAATTCTTTTATACCACATGACTTCCGAGTACTGAGGGGTTTGTACGTACCTCCTGTAGCTTGGAAGATTGATCTACTCCTTTCAGAAAGTGATGTGTAAAAATGAACCAATAATCAGATAATGAACATGTTTTTGGTCAACTATTCATATGTGAGCAAATGTATCTTGATGAAGCAAGTCTCCATGAAGGCACAGGAAATTGTGTACTGCATAGAACTTTAGAATAGGGGGTGAACTGGAAGACCAGATTCTATGGCTGTCTTCTCTTGACTCGTGGTCTGCGGTATTCTGTACTATTAATTTGTTAGTTTCTAGTGATACAAAGGGACTACCAAATGTCCATGCCAGTAGAAAATTGGGTCACTGTGGCATGGCCAGTTGAGGGCAGCTGATGTAAGTTAGAAAATACACAATGGGAAACTCCAGCTTCTAAGCCCTCTGTGAAACGATTAGCTTTTATCAACCTGCTCTGAACCCATGCTTCTGCACCTCTCAATCAAGGAAAACAATCAAATGCTTCATTGCTAGGCTCTTGCTCTTACCCCCATCCTTTGTGGGAAATCTGCCACTACACCCAGCCCCTCCTGGTAGTGTGGGTCTTTTCCTGTGTTCTTTTAAAAAAAAAGAAGTCTGTAGATTCCCAGGCTGCATGTCACAGGATGACCTTGATCTTCCCGTGTGGAAACTGTTTTCTTTCTTTCTTTCTTTCTTCTTCTTCTTTTTTTTTTTTTTGGTTTTTCGAGACAGGGTTTCTCTGTGGTTTTGGAGGCTGTCCTGGAACTAGCTCTTGTAGACCAGGCTGGCCTCGAACTCACAGAGATCCACCTGCCTCTGCCTCCTGAGTGCTGGGATTAAAGGCGTGTGCCACCAACGCCCGGCTGGAAACTGTTTTCTTAAACTGCAGATTTCACCCTTTCCCTTTTAGCTGGAAAGGACATTTGATTTAGAGAAGATCCCAGGAGACCCAGGGGAAAAGGCCACCATCCCAGGACTGTGAACGCTAAAGGGACAGTGAGTATCTGAGGCTGCCCAGTCATTCCCTAACTCCTCCCCACAGCCCCTCATCTGAACCTGCCACACCCAGGGAAGGAAGATGGGCTCTTACTCATTTCCATGTACTCAGGAGTCAGCCCAGTGTATGGCTCTAGGCTGTAGTCCAGGTCCCACTGCTCTGGACGTTTTGAGTGGTCAGGGTCACTTTCTCCAGGTTCTGTCTCATCTTTCAGCTTCCGAAAGAGTTTCTTTAGCTTCCTACAAAACAAATGCAGTTGTCACTAAAAGTCTTGGGGGGGGGCGCAGAATTACTTCAGCTGAAGAAAAAGAGGATGAGACAAAGTATGTATAGGCACTAAAGTCATCCCTGAACCAACCAAGGAGGTGTTTTATTAAGATAATAAAGAAACCATCCTCAGGAAAATATCAGAGGAAGAAGGTTACCATCAGAGCCACCCAGCTATGATTGTGGCAGCCTACAGCAGCTACCTGACTGCAAGACACACCGCTGCAACATAGGTGCCAGTGGTCTACACCTTATGCAGATCTTGTGCAGATAATCCACTGCTGAGATCAGGAGTTCAGTGACATGATATGCCTGAATCTTGGGTGTTAGTGGGAACAGGAGTTCACAGACTGGGGACAGTGATGGGTTACAGCTGGGCTTAAGGAACAGTGAAAGCTAATGACTGCACCCAGGTGGACCACCTCCTATTACCAGCACAAGGTGATAGTCTTCTGACAAGGAAACGGACTGGAAAGACTCCACATCTAAAAGAACTCCAGTAAGGTTGGGTAGAGGGACCCGTGGGGCCATTGTGTAGGCAGCTGTATTGTGCATGAAGTCCAAGGCTTGTTTGCACTCTAGGCAGAGAGAGACCCGAGGATATCTCCTCATGGAAAAAGCAAGAGATGACCTGGTGATGGCGGTGACTGTGAGCAGACACAGGGGCAGCAAAAAGGTCCAAGAGCTTCAGAACTTAAGGGCTGGGGATAGAGAAATATGGGAAATAGCAGACCTAGGAGTAGAAGGCCAATGATGAGACTGTAGCACAGGAAGCAAAGCCAGAAGAGGGAGGGGCTTCAACGTCTTATAAACATGGATTGATTCAGAAAAGGGAGTGGGGTATTGTGCAAATCTACACATAGCTCCCAGGAGGTGGTCATGCCCAGAAGTTTCCTCTGGGTATCAGTGACCAGTAACAAAATGAATGAAGTCTTTACAGACCCGGGTTTAAAAGGAATCCTGCAAGTTGTATAGCATACAGATGGGGCTTTGGGAAACCTCAAACTAGGATTCTGACCCTACAATGCATTCTCTTGTTAAAATGATTCCTTTGATGTCATCCCCACTCTATCCTTTGCATTTGCTGTTTTTTTTCCATGTCCTCCTTTAATGACAAGTCTCAGGAAGCTTCTGGAAGCCTCTGAAAGCCTCTGAATATTTTTCATAGCCAATGCTGCAAGGACTTGCACCCAAACCATGTGATCTGTGAGGCCTTCTGCTTCAGGGACCTGGACTGCAGGCAGTTCCACAAATGGTTCTTGGGTGTTGATCTCACTGAGGAAAAAGACAGAGCCAGGCTCTATATGGGTCAAAGATGATGACACAGCCACCATGTGGATATTTCTTTCCTGATTCCTTACAAAGTTCAAGTTTGTTCCTCAGATTTAGGTTCCTAGTAAGACTTCACTGTTTTTGAGGAAGTAACCCTCCTGTGATATCTTTAAAGATAAATAGTGTTATATTTATGAATCTATACAGAAAAGTGAGAGCTTATAGATTCTTATAAGCAGTGTCCAAGAGTATATGACAGTTCCTTGGGGACATGATCTGGCAAGTTAGTAAGAATAATGATGGAGAGAAATATTGCTGTGGAGGAATTCATTTGTCTGATCTTTCCATCTCAAAGTATACTCAGGAGAGGTTCTAATATGTGGAGGAGTTGGTGCTTTCTAGGAGTACACATGTCACCCCAACACCTGGAAACTAAGGTATGATAAGTTTCAGGCCAGCCTGGGATGTACAATGAGACTCTGTATTCAAGGAAGGAAGGATAAAGGAAAGGAGAGAAAGCAGAGAATGGTAAAAAAAAAAACAGGGTAAAGAAAAGGAAAAGAGGGTAGAGTGTTTGTGTGTCACATAGAAGGCCTGGGCTTCAACTCCCAAAACAGCACAAACAAGGCATGGAGAGAAACAGGCATTTCTCTTTTCACACAAAAAGAAAAGAAAACACACACACACACTCCATCTAGCTGGGTGATTAAAGGCCCATTTATAGTTTTGCTTTAGTGCTCACCAAAGATAAATTCAAAATCAAAGTGTCAGAGAAGTGATGGGTGTGCTGCTTCAGGGGCACAACAGAGTTGTATCCTAAACCTGCTTTGCATAGGCACCTATTGGAAAGGTGAGACAATCACAGGTGAGGGAAACTCTAACTAATGAACACAGCAAACAGCTATGTCATGCCATGTCATGGCATGAAGCTTTCTTGGAAAGAACTATCTGTAAGCACTGCTCTGGGCAGTGATGTATGAAACCACCTGGCTTCTCCCTCAAAAGCCTCTGTCCCAAGTACATTTTTCTGTTTTTCAAAGTTAAATCTGGCCCGTCAGATTCTTATTTAACTTCTATTGGGAAAAGATTGATATGGGCTCTGGAGGTAAGGAACTGATCAGCTGTGAAGCGAAAGCCAGCAGGTCTAGAACAAAGGAGAAAGGCAGCATGTCTGAGCCGGGACCTGTCAGTCACATTTGTGAGCTTGCTCAAAAGACATGGAAGCCCATGACACACATTAATATCCAGAACTGGTTCTCCCTTCTTCTGGTGTCCATTTTCTAGACAGCTAAGCATTTATTCCAATCTATTTTCATTACACAACATATTGGAAGCAAATCTTTGTACAGTAACTTTCTGAAGGTTGCACATTGAGTATAAGACAAAGCCTTGATTCCAACTGAGGTCTGTTGTCCATTATTTCTGCTCCACAAAAGGGACTGAATACCATTGGATATAGTTTTGAGTTCAAATAATTTCTCCCTCCCTGTCAGACTCCACTGTCATTTTTCTTTTGACTGGGAAAGATTCCTTTCCAAAATTGCTTATTTCATGTTTCCTACCTATGCCCTATATAAGGTCACTGCCAGAAACTTGGGTTCTGATTTTGGGCTTACCAAGTATGATCTTGAGTGGTAAGTAAAAGGTTTTTGGATCGTAAGTATAGAGATTCCATCTGACTAAATTCAAAACACAACCTATAGATGATCAAGAATATTGGGCATGGTGGCAGAATCTCTGATCTACATTCCTGAAGTTGCCTAAATAATAATGCCAGGTGGCCATGTGTAGCCTTTAGCAGACTGGAAACTAAAATAAGAGGGATGAGATGTAGCTTAGTGGATCATTTGCCTAGCATATATGAAACCCTGAGTTCAGTCCCCAGTACCTCTAGCTGAAATGAGGAAACCTGTAAAGGGAAGCTTTTCCTTGAGAGAAGCCTTCCCGCCAGCCTGGTTCCAGAGCCACATCAGTCCCAAATAAACATACAGGAGGCTATATTAATTATGAAGCTGTTGGCCTTGCTTGTTTCTTACTGGCTAGCTCTGACTTAAGTAATTACCCCATAATTGTTAATCTAAGTATTTCTCTTACCGGAGAATAGTTCCGGGCTTCCTACCCCCATGGCGTTACATCTTGACTCCCTGTGTTTCTCCTACCCAGAGTCCTCCTGGACTCCTAGTCCCACCTATCTAACTTCCCTATTGGCCAACAGTGTTTTATTGACATAATCACAGGACTTCCCCCATCAGAAACCTACTTTGAATCAGTGTGGCTTACATGTGCATGTGGAATATGCAGAGACTAGCTTTACTCAGCAGGAGAGGGGTTTGTGGGGTCCCAGTCTTGCAAGGTACCTACCTCACAGATGACTAATGACACCACATTCATCAAGAGACATAGACAGTGAGACTTTGAGAAGGGACTTGTGTGCAACTTTGTGAATTATTATGCAGTTGCCATTGATTAAAGTGTGGTATACTTTTTAAAACATATGAAATAAGTATAAATAAGAAAATTAAAATTTCAAGGCAAGCCAGCATGTGTATTTTTCATCTGTCAGGAAGCTGATGGACAGAGAGCATGCCAACACACTGTCACACATATGCCTGAGCTGTTGCTTCTCTTAGATTATGAAAGACTTTGGAACCCAAAAATAATGCTCTAAGTGGTAGATAAGATGTCCAGGAATGGAAACATGGCCATCCCATGCCTGTAAGCTGTCTACAGTTCTATCAGCAAGAGAACAGCAATGCCCTAGAAAGACAGGTGTCTTCACCAGATGTTTGATTGGCATGAAGACTTTTCTTGGCAACCGTACTGGAGAACTTGGTTGCATAGCTTCAAAGGGACCAGATGTGGCTTTAGCATCATCTGTGTATACTCTGGATGTTGGTCTACAACAAATGCTGTCTCTAAGATACTGTGTGCTTACAGAACAAAATACATCTGTTTCTCTAGCTTTACTTGACTATCACTGAAAGACTGTTTGTCAGAAAATAGAGATAAAATAAAACTTCAAGACCCGAATTTATTGAGCTTGTGGTTCTTACTGGTAACTGTAAGCTTGTTTAAGAAGAGAGGAGGAATGCAGCATGTCAGGGGCCATGAGAGATATAGTAGGTAACTACTGCTCAGCCGGCCGACCTAGCAGATGAGTGATTCTCTGATGGGGAGCCCCACCTGGAAAGGCTATGGAGTTACTGGCTGGGGAAACCAGATGCTCCTGTCTGTAATTTCTCTCATGAGTCACTTCATTCCTTCCCTAAGAACTTCATTTCTTTCCTAAGATTAGCTTTGGGTGTTTTCCCACTGCTTGTATGTTTATTTCATAAAAATATTCCATCCACTGGGCACATATATCTGCGGACAGCCAGGAAGATGACTTTCATTTGGCTATATAATTTTGATATATAGAAAATATACTGGGACATACTTCATAACTGGATTTATTTGTCCCACGAGCACTGTGAACACTTAATAGCCTGCCTAATTCTTTTGTTCAGACTAACTGCACACAATTAGTTCACTTTCATCTCAAAGTAAATTCAAACTAGACTAAGGGATTTTTGTAAATAGATCATAAGTTTAAAATTTTTCAGCTTGCATAACATCAGAGTCACAGATATCTGGTCAGGTTGCTGTGCAGAGCACCCTAAGAAGTGCATGCTGGTTCTTTGCTTGCCAAGTCTGTTAACCATAAACCTATACCTCAAAGTTGTCACAGGGCACTGTGCCCTCCCAATCTGGTTGCAATCTTGCCCCTATGACCTTGAAACCCCTTCATTGCCATGGCAATGGCTCAACTCCCTATCCCTAGGAATGTGCTTTTGACCAATGAGAAGTAAATCTTGTAATTTTCTTAATCACTTCAAGGTTCCTAAAGGACAAGGTTTTAGAATAGAAAAGGAAGCCTAGAGAAGAACCTAGGGGAATTAAAAGTATGACAGGATTATTAGATAATGGCAGAAGAATAATAAAAAAAACTGATTCGGAAAAGCACATGTGGAGAATTCATTTGCCTTCAGATTTTCTAAATCTCTCACTTTCTATAGCACCCTCTCTGAACTCTGAGGGGGCACTGAGGCTGGACCTCAAAGGCTCCTGTTATCACACTCAGATACTGGTATCCCCACCAAATTCTCCTCTAAGATAAAAACACTTAAAAGTACCATGTAAGGTTGTCCTGGTATGTCAGCAGAAAAGTGCACTTGAGTGTTCTCCCTAATGAAATGTGATGGTTTTCTTAGTTAGGGTTTCTATTGATGTGACAAGACAACATGACTAAAAAGCAAGTCAGGGATGAAAAGATTTATTTGGCTTACACTTCTATATCACTGTTCTTCATCAAAGGAAGTCAGGACAGGAACTCATACAGGACAGAAACCTGGAGGCAGGAGCTGATGCACAGGCCATAGAGGGGTGCTGTTTACTTCCTTGCTCCTCATGGCTTGTTCAGCCTGCTTCTTATAGAACCCAGGACCACCAGTCCAGGGATGGCATCACCTACAAAACACTGGATCCTCCACCATCAATCACTAGTTAAGAAAATGCTCTATAGGCTTGCCCACAGCCTGAAATTACAGAGGCGTTTTCTCAGTTGAGGTTCCCTCCTTTCAGATGAGTATACTTTTTGTCCAGCTCTTGTAATTGGCATCTCCCTTCATGTACCAGAGGCCTTGACTGGGGAAATGCCATCTTGGAGATTTATCTCTGGGTCATGAGGTGCTTGAGGTAAGAGAAAAGGGAATGTGGTGGTGCATGCCTTTAATTCTAGCACTCAGAAGATAGAGGCAGGTGGGTCTCTATGAGTTCAAGGCCAGCCTGGTCTACATAGCTAGTTCCAGGACTACACATAGAAACATTGTCTCAAAAAAAGGAGGATAAGAAGAAGAGAAAAAGAACAGAAGAGGAGAAGAAGTAGGAGAATCATCATAATGATGGGCAGTACAATTCAATTGGAAAGAAAGAAAGAGATTAACAAGGAGCTCTTCTTTCCTGGAAGATTTCTTGGAAGCAAAATGTACATGATACCACTCCAGCAGGGAGACAGACTCACAGGATCCTCATCTACCTTTGTGAGGACTGTCTGATCACTATAGGAGCATGGTCAGTTTTGTAAATGTTCAAGACACCTGGCCCAGCCTACTAGAGTTACCCCTGCTCATTTCTGGCACTCCCTAGCTCTGTGCCACTGAGCTAGCTAAAAGTAGCCCTGAAACAAAGAGCTAGAAAGAAGGGTTGGGCTCATCTGCTTAAGTATGAGGATCAGAGTTCAACGCCCAGATCCACCAATAAAAGGCAAGTATGGTAGCTTCCACTAAGAGCACTGGGAAAGAAGAGGCAGGCAGATTTCTACCACTTGCTGGCAAGCCACCCTCTCCCGTAAGGGAGGTCCAGACCAGTGAGAGACCCTATCTCAAAAAACAAGGCAGAGAGCTTCTGAGAAAAAGGTTTCCCCTGACCACCACATGCATTCACACACCTGCACATACAAACACACACAACATATACATACATACATACATACATACACACACACACATACACATAAAACCAGGAAATAAAAATCCAAGGGACCAAAAAGGAAAGACAGAGCATACACAATTTTGGATGTCTAGATCTATTTTTTGCTTGCTTAGTTTTGTTTCCATTTTAGTAGCTGTCAGTAACATTTCATGACCATTTCCATCTATAAAATTTATATAACGCCCTTGGCGCTTTACCAGGTATGCATGCCTCCTCTCTTAAGATCCTGCATCCCACATTTTGTCATCAGAGTTTCTTAAATGACTTCCTCAGACTTTCCTATCATCTTCCCAACAGCACCACCCTACTTACTCAACGGAGGACAAATACATCAAAAGCTTTATGTACTTTGGGGTCTGGGTTATCTGTTAGCTCTGCCCTTTCTTTTTACATGTATTTGAGCAAGTGCTAAATCACTCTGAGCTCAAACATTCCATCTTAGATTAGGAAACAAAGCGAGTAGAAGACAGCTGCGGGCTCACAGAAGGGAAAGTGAATGACCAGGTTTATACACAAAGGGGAAAGACTGCGAAAACTGAGCTGCAAGTCTGGCACTTCTCCGAGGAGAGATAGCAAACTGGTGAACTGGTCGTTACATACGGGACTCCAATCTCGAAGATATTGTTCTGGATCAGCTGCTTCCCCAGCATGATGATGCTGAGCTGGATGCACAGCTCCATGAGACAGCCTCCCGGAGCACACTGCAGGGGGGGAGGGAGGACAGAGGCGGAGCCGTCAGACCATGCAGGCTCTAGAGAAATGGGTGACCCTGCAATGGAGCTAAGCTGGGGGCCGCCCACAAACTGCTGGCCAGGCACGAATGCCACAGAAGGTACTTGCCTCTTCCATGCGGTAGCCATCGAACACATAGACATAGCTTCCAGGTCTTCCCACAAACCTGAAAGAAAAATGTGTGTGCAGTGTCAGAGGAAGCAGGGCCGCTGGAGCATTCATCCTCTGCGTGAAAGAGCTGTCACTTGATGTCCTCTCTGAATGAACAGGCTAGTCATGGGGGGGGTTCCCAAATCACAGGAGGACAGGAGTTCACACCCATTATCTTCTGGTGAAGATCTGTAATACTTTTGGCCCCTTCCCTTCCCTTCTCTTCCCTTCTTTCTTTTCAGTGTTGGGGGTTGAACCTAGGGCTTTGCATGAGCTAGGCAGCTATTGTATTGCTCGATTTCATGCCCAGCTGCCCAATATTTTTCCTATGTCTCTTGTTGTGTCATTTATAACATTACAATAGTGCTGTTGCGCAGACTAACTCTTCCAGGGTACCACCAATCTAAGAGTCAGGATCATTCTGTATGCAATGCCATGAGTATGTAGTTTGCCTTTGCTCTGAATCTAGATAGAAATATCAATATAGACTAGTCAATTTGGGCAGCATCTTTGCTACTATAATTTCATCAGAGCTAAAAGCAGAGGTCTTAGAAGGAGTTTTGTGTTTTGGGGTTACAGACATATCTACAAAAAAGATCACACGTGGATAACAAACATTCTTTGTGGTACCACACAAGCTTTGGGCTACAAGGAAACCAATAAGTATTTATTAGAAGCAACTTTACACCCAAATCTATTGTATAATAAAACATTTTAACCGGTGTATGTGCAAGTACTTGTGATCCTAGTTCTAGGGAGGCTGAGGCTAGCAAACCACCAAGTGAAGTCAAGCCTGAGCTATACAATGAGTTTGAGGATAGCCTAGGCTTCGCAGTGAGATTCTGTCTCAAGAAAAAGAAGTCAGCATCAAATAGAAAGAACCCTTGTTCTTTGTCATTGGTTCTTGGGAGGAGCCCCTAAATTCTTAGAATTTCCATGGTCATAGGGACATCTTCGCTGTTTGTTATGGGCTCTTGGGACTATTACCTAAATTTAAGCTATAATGTATATGTGTGTATGGGGAGGGGGTGGGGCATACCTTTAATCCCTGGACTCGGAGGCAGAGGCAGGTGGATCACTCAGTTGGAGGCCAGCCTGGTCTACATAGCGAGTTCCAGGACAGACAGAGCTGTTGCACAGAGAAACCCTGTTTCAAATATTTGTGTGTGTGTGTGTGTGTGTGTGTGTGTGTAGTATTATGTATGTATGTATGTATGTATGTGTATGTATGTATGTATGTATGTGAGAGCACTCAGGATGAAGACAGATAATGCCACGGACCAAACATTTAGCTGGGACTTTGAGTCATCAAACAGCAATCTGCCCTCAGTGGGGGAAGGAGACATGTGTCTGAGTTCAGTCTCATGGTATAATCACATGATTGAATAAAGTTTGCCTAAGTAAAGAGATCTTGGGAGAGCATTGTTGAAGCACATGGATGTTCCAGGAGGGTCGAGAGTCCCCAGGACATGGTCACTTTGGGATCAGGACCCTGTGAGATGTCAGTCTAGGAGCTGTTTTGGATTACTCCCCTTTACTATAATAGGACTGTAACTGTGAGTGTTGCACATTCTTGGATCCTGTGTGTTATTCTAGGGAATTATAGAATTTGAGGAGACAGCGAGAACTCTGGAATTCCTAACTGGAGAGTCAGAACTGCAAATGTCCTGAGTGCCCAGAGAGCTTGGGGCTGTTACATGAAGTGAGGCAGTCAATGAAGTTAGTGCCCTTCATCTGGGAAGCTTGTATCAACTCCAGTTAAACAGCACCAAACTTCACTGTGTAGCCTTGGAGCCTCTCGATAAACATGCAGTCCTCTTCTGCCTTGTTCTCCAAGGCAATGCCTACTGAGAGTCTCCCTTTAGGGTCTAGGTTCAAATTCTTGTGTAGTTGCCAGGGATATTTGATTCTGAGGATGCAAATTCACTTGTTCATGACAGTCAGTTGGGTAACAGTTCATCCAGCCGAGGGGGAAGAATAGGGTGAGAATGGGAGCGACAATGGGGACAAAATGACCCCACTTGTCCTGATAATGGAGCCCCTACAGTAGTGCATTAGGCAAGTTGCTTTTCCACAGGTGCCACTGTTCTACTCACCTCCCCTTGAAGAAGGCCACATAGAAGATGGGGGAGTAGGCGTTGACAAACTTTAGCAAGAAAGCTTTGAGGATCAAGCGCTCTTCAAAGGTCTGCTCAGTTTTTGGGACCTCTGCAAAGGAAGAATGCAGTCAGTGAGGCCGAGGTGAGAGGCTTTTCTTTTCCTTTAATCTGTGTGTGTCTATGTGTGTGTGTGTGTGTGTGTGTGTGTGTGTGTGTGTGTGTGTGTGTGTGTGCAGGTACCCCAGAGGACAGAAGAGCATATCATAGCCCTTGGAGCTGGAGTTACAGGAAGCTGTAAGCCACATGATGTGGGTGCTGGAAAGCAAACTCCAGTTCTTTGTAAGAGCAATACGTACTCTTAACTGTTGAGCCATCTCTGCAGCCCAGAGGTAACAGTTTTGACCTTGACATGAGTCACTGTCTCCCAAGTTACAACTTTGGAGCAGAATCCAGGGGCCCTGCTCTCTGGCACACGAGAAATGGACAGGTTCATCTGGGAGACACCAAACCCTTTGCTGGATAATCTGAGGTTACACAGGGTAAAGGGTACATAAAATCTTTACCTCGCTCTTTCTGCTGCTCCCTCCTGGCCTCCTAAGCAGTGGTGTCATTCTGTGCTTCACAAAGAAGAGCTTGGGGCCCCCACCTTTTACTTGTTCCTGGGGAAGTCAGCCAGCCTTTGTGAATATAACGCCCATAAAATTGTACTTGAACAAAAGTTTCAGGCCAAAAGAGCTTAGAGTTGGTAGGGCACCTGGATTAATTTCTTTATCTCCTCCTCTATTTTTACCAGGAAGACGTTTATCTGTAAGATCTAGGGAAGGCTGAAACGCCTCTTGATCATCCATCCAAATCATGAAAGGTCACCAAAGAAGGCAAAAAGAAAAACATGGCTGAGCCTATGTCTCAAACCCAGGACATGCATTCTGTCATGTCCCAGCACAGACGTTGGTAAACATCTTTGGAAAGGCCCTGAGGAGATCGGGCAAAAATCCTTCTGGCGCCTTCAGAAGCCTCTTAGTGTGGAAGACTCCTGTGAGAAGTGCGGCAAACTTTGTGGAGACTCCATGGACTGTGATAAACGAACAACTTGGTGAAAGGGGACATGGGGGGTGTTGTTAATCCATTTGTGTTGTTGAATAAAATACCATGAACTAGTTAGGCTACAATGCAACCAAAAAACTACTTCTTACAATTCTGGAAGCTTGGAAGGCAAGACCACAGTAGCCTCGGTTCCTTTTCCTGACCCTTTCCTCGTCTACAAGTCCTTGCTTTCTTCAACACTCAGGCTCAATCTCCTCCTAGAAGGGCCTGGTTTCTGCTCCATAGAAAGCACATCACTGTTGTGTCCCAGTATGCTGGGAGAGCTAGTCATCTCCTGGAACCTCTTTTGTAACTTCACTTACAAAGGCACTGCTTGATGGCCTAGACCATCTCTTCTCAAATGTCCCATAACACCATCATGTTGGTGATTAGGATTTGTGCTGGATGGTTTTATGTTGACTTTACACAAGTTAAAGTCATCTGAGAAGAGGGAACCTCAATTAAAATTTCTCTATTAGATAGGGAAGTAAGCAGGACTTTCTTAATTTGTGATTGATGGGGGAGGGCCCAGCTTATGATGGCTGGTACCATCCCTGGGCTGGTGATCCTTGTGCCTATAAGAAAGCTGGCTGAGCAAGCCATGATAAGCAAGCTGGTAAGCAGCACTCCTCCACGACCTCTGCATCAGTTCCTGGCTGCAGGTTCCTGCCCTGCTTGAGTTCCTGTTCTGACTTCCTTTGGTGATGATCAGTGATGTGGAAACATAATGAACCCTTTCCTCCCCAACTTGCTTTTTGGTCATGGTGTTTCATTTCAGCAATAGAAGCCCCAACTAAGACAGAATTTCAGTAGATGAATGGAGTGTGTCTGTGGGGGAAATGGCAAATAATAGAATCATATCACATGGCCATACTCTTCAGGACTACCCTTGCATCATGTAAAGTGGTAAGTATAGAAGTATGCAGAGCCCGGGGCACAGTGCCAGGACCACACGCAGGATACATCCAGTTTGTGTATATCCAGCCTGCATAGGAAGAGTTGAACTGTGACCCTGCTCTTTCCTGTGGTGTGTGCCCTTCCCTGACCTTCTCCTCATGTACAAGTCCTTGCATTCTTCAACACTCAGTCTAAATCTCCTCCCACAAGTTTTTCCAGATGTCTTGAGTTGGTGCCATTTTCCCAGTTTTTTTAAAATATGGATTCGATACCTTCCTATATTACCTATATCTATGCCCTTTAAAATTTAAAAATAGCATGGTTACTACTGATTGTCCATGCATACTTAGCAGATCTCCAAACATCAAAAGATAGGAACAGGCAGTTTGTGAGGACATGTGGTAAGATTCCGGGATGGTGGGAAAGCAAAAGGAGGAAAGATGTATGGATAACTTTGTTCCTAACAGGTTGATGTCTACAGTGGTTTGAATGAAAATAGCTCATAGATTCCTAAGTGTGAATGTATGGTCCCCAGGCAGTGAAATTGTGGAGGGATTAGGAGGTGTGACCTTGTTGGAGGAGTCACATCATTGGGAGAGGGCTATGGGGTTTCAAAAGCCCATATTGGGCACAGTCTCTCTTTCTCTCTTTCTCTCTCTTGTTTGCTAGCTGTGGATCAGGATGTAAAATTCCCAGTTACTGCCAAGCAGTGTTGCTGCACTCCTTTAACCCCAGCACTTGGGAGGCAAAGGTGGGTGGATCTCTGTGAGTTCAAGGCCAGCCTGGTCTACAGAGATGAGTACCAAGACAGCCAAAGCTACATGGAGAAATTGTCTTGAAAAACCAAAATCAAAACCAAAACCAAACAACCCAAAAAACCAAAATGAACAAACAAACAAACAAAAAGCCAAAACCTCCCAGTTATTGCTCCAGTGCCATGCCTGTCTGCTTCCCGACATGATGATCACGGACTAACCCTCTAAAATTGTAAGCAAGCTCCCAATTAAATGCTTTGTTTTATAAGTTGCTTTGGTCACAGTGTCTCCTCCAGCATTAGGGCAGTGACTAAGACAATATCATAGGCCATGGAGGTGCTGATGTCTTCTATAGAACTGTACACAACCAGAGGCAACCAGAGGATATCCAGGGAAAGAGCTGTCACACGTCATCAGTATGAATAGGAACTACGTGATGGTCAGCCAGAAGGCAGCTCAAATGGATATACATGGCACACAAGAATGCCTGTTCCATTTCACCAAGACATGGTCCATGTGGGGGAAAATAGGCTGCTAGGAAAACCCAATGGAATAGAGAATAGCATTAGTTTGTTATTGTTGTTTTGTTTGTTTTTATACATCTTTGATGACTTAAGGTTTTGTTCAGTACATAAGTGCATTTGGTATTTTGTTGTTTGCTCTTTGGGACAGGATTTCACTTTTTAGCTTAGGATGGCCTGGAACTCAAGATATACTTTATGGATAGCATCAAATCATGACCCCCCACCCCCCCAGCCACCTAAATACTGAACCTTTAGGCCTGTACCACCATGCCCATCCCTTGCCTTCTCCTTCACATATGGTGGTGGCAATACTTGTCTCAACGAAGAGACAAGAGAGAGGTGAGTCGCATGAGTAAGTGCACCTTTAATCCTAGCACTCCAGAGGCAGAGGCAAATGAATCTCTCTGAGTTTGAGATCAGCCTGATCTACATAGTGAGTTTCAGGACAGCCAGGGCTACATAGTGAGACTCTGATTGGAAAACACAATAGAAGAGTGACAGTGGAGAAACGCCATGGGTTACAAGAGTGCACCTCCAGGAATCCTACTTTGCATGAGGAGGCCACACTGCTGAGTAAGAGGAGATAGACATTGGCTGGGTCCTCATCAAATTATTTTCCTCTTTCTGGATAAACATTAGGTGAAAATGAATCGTGGTCTGTAAAGGGAAGCCTTCCTGCCAGCCTGGTTCCAGAGCTGCATGAGTCCCAAATAACACACAGGAGGCTATATTAATTATGAAGCTGTTGGCCTTGCTTGTTTCTTACTGGCTAGCTCTGACTTAAGTAATTACCCCATAATTGTTAATCTAAGTATTTCTCTTACCAGAGAACTTTCTGGGCTTCCTATCCCATGGCATTACATCTTGACTCTCTGTGTTTCTCCTACCCAGAGTCCTCCTGGATTCCTAGACCCACCTATCTTGGTTCCCTATTGGCCAACAGTGCTTTATTGACATATACACAGGACTTCCCCTATCAGTGGTCTGTCATAGTGCGTTTCCTGCTCTGTGATGAAATATTCTGATGTAAGAACTTAAGGGAGAAATTGTTTATTTTTGCTCAAGTTCAAGGGTACAGTCCATCATGGCAGGGAAGTAGATACAGCATGTCACATTTCCAACCAGAGAGCAGGGCAATGCATTCATGCTGCTGCTCAGTGCCTGTTCTCCACAGTCCCATGTCCTGTCCAGGAAATGGTGCCACCCACAGCGGGTGGCTATTCACATTTCAATGACCACAATCATCCCTCACAAAGGCTTTTTCAGAAGCCTGCCTCCTGGGTGACTCTAGATTCTGTCAAGTCAGCAATTAACTGTCACATGACTCATGAGATAGAAGCCTTTGCCTTTGATATCATTTGCTCCTAAAGTCTCTCCTTAGTCTCTTATCCCTCAACTCCAAGGAAGATCTGAAGCCCACGGGGTATAGCAACTGCACCTAGAGGAGAAAGTCCAGAACTCTGAATCCCCAACCAGAAGGCTGCCCACCACACATCGGGTGGAACAGCTATGGGAGCACGCTAAGTCATGGAGGGTTATAACATCTTAACGGAATGTGCTCTGGATGTGCCCAACCTGACACAAGCAGGTGAGGCCCACCTGTGGGAAGTCCTGAGGCACTGGTTTGGACGGTGGATCCCCAAGGGTTATTGTGTTGAAGGTACATCCTCTGGATGCTGGGTCCAATCATTAAGAGGTCACTGGATCTAGAGGGCACAAGCTTCATTCTTGGAAGTTCATACAGGATGGGCTGTTGTGGGATAGGCCTCGTTGAAGGTGGACACTGGAGGCATGTCTTGAAGGGCACATCCCACTCAGCCCTTTCTTGTCTGTCTGTCTCTGTCCTTGTG